GAACGTGTCCAGAACACCTCACCAGGGAGGAGTCCAGGAGGCATCCTAACCAGATGAACCACCTCAACTGGTTCCTCTCGACGTGGAGGAGCAGCGGCTCTACTCTGAGTCCCTCCAGGATGACTGAGCTTCTCAGCCTATCTCTAAGGGAGAGCCCAGCAACCCTGCAGAGGAAACCCATTTCGGCCGCTTGTATCTGTGATCTCGTTCTTTCTGTCACCACCCAAAGCTCGTGACCATAGATACTTAAACTCCTCCACTTGGGGCAGGACCTCGACCCGGAGAAGGCACCCTACCATTTTCCGGCTCAAGACCATGGTCTCAGATTTGGAGGCACTGCTCGTCATCCCAGCCGCTTCACACTCGGCTGTGAACCACTCCAGTGAGAACTGGAGATCAGGATCTGATGAAGCCAATAGACCACATCATCCACAGAGAGATGTGATCCTAAAGTCACCAAAACGGATCCCCTCAACACCTCGGCTGCGCCCAGAACATTCTGTCCATAAAAGTTATGAACAGAATCTGTGACAAAGGGCTACTGATACGACTAGGAGGCAGGGTGAACCAAATTGCAGGCAGCCAGGCAGACTAGAAAGTTTGACAAAAAATTTATTAAATAAAAAGCCAACGTGGTGGCAAAAAACAGAGAACTAACAAAAAGCAGGAGCAAGAAAGCCAGGGCATAACAAGAATCCAACATGAACAAACAAACAATGATCAGACAATGACACAGAGACAAGACTGAGCTTAAATACACAGAAAACTAATGAGGGAACAGAAAACACCTGGGGAGAAACATGAGGGTGACTAATCAGACAAATAAGGGGCAGCTGGAGAGACATGAGGAAGAAAACAGGAACATGACAGAAACTAAAAATAAAAACACTTAACACAGACAAAAAATCATAACAGAACCCCCCCCAATAAGGGACGGCTCCTGACGTCCCACAGGAGTTCCAGGGGCCGGCCATGAACCTCCTTGCAGCCGAGGGAGGAGGCGGGAGCAGACATGGAGCCGAGGGAGGAGGCGGGAGCAGACATGGAGCCGAGGCAGGAGGCGGGAGCAGACATGGAGCCGAGGGAGGAGGCGGGAGCAGACATGGAGCAGAGGGAGGAGGTGGGAGCAGACATGGAGCCGAGGGAGGAGGCGGGAGCAGACATGGAGCTGAGGGAGGAGGCGGGAGCAGACATGAAGCCGAGGGAGGAGGCGGGAGCAGACATGGAGCCGAGGGAGGAGGCGGGAGGCGATGAGGAGCCGTCGGAGGTTGGCGGAGCCGGAGCCTTGGCGACGGCGAACACAGGCGACAGAGGGGACGAAGAGGCGACGGGCGGCCGACCCAGGTGACATGGAGGCGACGGGCGATGACCCGGGCGACATGGAGGCGACGGGCGATGACCCGGGCGACATGGAGGCGACGGGCGATGACCCGGGCGACATGGAGGCGACGGCCGCCGACCCGGGCGACATGGAGGCGACGGCCGCCGACCCGGGCGACATGGAGGCGACGGGCGATGACCCGGGCGACATGGAGGCGACGGGCGATGACCCGGGCGACATGGAGGCGACGGGCGATGACCCGGGCGACATGGAGGCGGCAGCAACTGACCCAGATGACCTGGAGGGGGCAGCAGCCAACCCATGAGCCTCGAGGATCGCCGACCTACGAGTCACCATCGGGACCACCGACTGTGGAACCATCGACTCGGGGCCCACCGGGAT